TGACTTGACTTGACTTAACTTTGTTTTATGAACTATTGTATTCAGGTCGAAATCGGGGAAAGGTAACAGAATGATAAGAATGTTCTATTTTCCTGGTGAACTCTAGGCAAATGTAATTAGTTCATTAGATAAATAGTCAAAAGTCCACCCTTCTTAGTCTTGCGTTAAATAATGTTAAGGGAAGCCCGACGAAAGATCTTGACGATGCACTATGCGTAACATGCGACTCGTGAATCTGTTTTATATTTAAAGGGACCTGGAAAAAACACTAATCATGAATTTCACATCCAATCAACTGAATAAGTCAACTTGAAATCAATTACTTAATGTTGTAGGCAGGCCTTTTTTCTTAGGACACCCAATACTAGATGGCTCTTGAAGTTTGGTACTTGTTGACTGATCGTCGAACATATGATCCTTTTGAGATTTATCGTTAGCTAGTTCGTCTGCGCCAGATAAACTCTTTATTTAGTCGGTTGACAGATTCAGTACTCCTAGAATGTAATACATGCAAGGATGGTATATTACAAGTATAACACAGTATCAGTGCGCCGTAGAATTTGGTGAATTCTTTGAATTGTCTCGGATGGATCATCTAAGGGGTCATCCCTTTAAACTGCAGAGGAAGCCGGCGTTCGAAGGAAAGCCTTCTCACAGAGGGTCTTCGGAGCGTGGAACGGACTCCCTGATGAGTTGGTCCTCTCAGACACTGTTGACACTTTTAAAAACAAACTTGATTCTCATTTTCTGAGAAACTGCGACAGATATAATGAACAGCAGCAGTTTGCAACTGGCTCACACCTATCGCTGATTTTAAGCCTTCATTTGTATTATGTACTATTGCTAAGGATGAACTCTGTTGGAATTTTTGGATATGAATAGGGAGCTCAAGGGCGAAAGCATTCTTCCCTTAATAAAGTGACTTAATTACTAGAATATCGAATCAAACGTATCAGTGACGAATTACACAAGAAGGACATTCGTTCTTTGATTTGGGGGAAGGGTTTCCATCAATTCTGCTTCCTCAGTGCCAAC